CTCATATTCTCGACTAGATCGCTGCACGTTGCCAAACAGTTGTCCGCAAGATCCCAAGAAAACCTGTTGCGATGTGATCGGAGTGTACTGACCATGTCTTTAGCAAGGTGGAGGGGAGCATTGGAGCGTGCATTCCTTCTACGAAGACCGCTTCGGAGCAAGAAGGTGGTGGCGGAGGTCAAGGAGAAGGCATGTACAGGGATCCAAAACCCACGAAAATGTGACTCATCTAGCTCCTTTACCAGATGAACGATTTCCTCCGCCGCCCTTTGTGCTTGCGTATAGAATGGAGAGGTCGTGTCGTCGTCGGCTTTCATGGCATCCGCGTCGAGGTCGAGTTGGATGCGTCTGAACAAAAGCTTGACCGCTAGGTAGGCTAGTCGGAAATTTGCTGCCCCTGGAGCATGTAAGTGTGTCCCTCGAATGACGATGCGACGGATATCGTCGCTCAACGATTCTTCCCAGTCGGTGAGAAGCCGCTCGAGGTCCACGGAAGACGTTTCTGGCGGATACGGCGTGCTCTCGGACACCTTATATACATGCTGAAGATAAGTACCCAACACTTCAGTCAGCGTTGTCAAGGAGAGGAAGATCAGGGCAGCTGCTATGTGGGAGGAAGATGCATTGGAGGGACAAAGGTCGTCCATGGTCGGATAGGGCACGTCGTATTGCGCACAGTGGATCTGGAGGGGGGTCCCGTAAGCCAAACTGCACCTGTGCGGATGTGTTAGTGCGTCCAAGACATGAAATAGATAAAGATGCTTAGTACCAACGGTCATGTATAACAACCAGCCACCAAATGCGAATTCGAAACCGTTTCTCCATTGGACGAATATTCCAATTGGAAGGGTCACGATTCAGACCCAGAGCATTGGACAGGGCGACTGCAGTTCCAACCATCCCCCCATTTCCGAACATGGAAGTACTTGGCCTTCCACAGACATTCAGAATAATTGCCATGACCGTAGATATCCCGGGGGACAGGAATAGCTCTGAATGGAGAGCTTCGTTCGCTTGGTTCCAAATAAAGCGGATATCAGGATAGCGCCCGGACCGCAAACTAGGCGAATTCTCCCAGTAGATCAGAGCGTTAGCATACAGATTGCAAAGGAGAGCCGGTGAGATATTTTCTTTATGTGTGCAATAAACATGTCGAAAGGACATTTCGTCGAATATAGGAAAGCATATGTTAACGTGGTGAAAGAACCTACATGTTACACGGAAGCAATCAGCCAGTCCTGAACAATTGGGAGTCAAGTTGACTACTCACAGGTCCACAACATCATCGACTCCTGGCTCTAGGTATTTTTCAATGAATTCGCACTTTGTAGCGGGAAGTGACTGATTTGCAGAAACCCCTAATGGCCGCCTGGGTACAGTGTTGAACAGCACTGGTCTCACAGGCCGTCTCGAGTTCGGATCCGTCCGAATTATCGACCTCCGCCGGGCATCTGGAACGGTAGAGAGGTAGCTCTCGAGGACATCGTTATCTTCGGCTACTGCAGGACTGACTATATGCGAGCTACTGTCCCCGGCCTCGGTAACGATGCCCACCAGGTTAGGAAATGCCTCTCGATTAAAATGGCCATGAGTGGGAGGGCACGATTGTGTCTCTAGACTCGCTGCGGGCCTGTTGATTATTTGTAGATCAAACTCTCTTGAGGGGCTAACTGCGTCTACTGGATGATTAGATACCTGTTGCGTGTGAAGGGAGGCTGACGTCGAAAGGCTCTTGAGATTCTTCGGTTGTGCTACCGTTCTCGGTGCCCGTCGTGACTTGAGTGTCAACTTCCGCGGCAAAGCTACAGACCTTCGTTGGGAGTTATCCCCTGGCCTCGGATAGATACAATCGGTACCGTGAGCCCGACACATGATGCATATGCCGGACGAGTCTGTTGTCCTGCAGCGGGACTTGCGCTTTTTGCAAGGTAGACAGGCAGGGTACAGGTGAGACCGATATGGCCTGGCCTCGGCGCTATCTCCCTCATCACGAACACTAGGGTCTCCCTCCATCTCAGTTGAGTATTCACCTTGTTCTTTTCGACAAAGGGAGGTGAAGATAGAAGTCACAACAATACGATGAGGGGAGGAATTGAGAGTAACTATGGTCCCGCGGCAAACCCCGCGGCCAACTCCACCGATCTTTGTCTACCCGCGAATGAGATATGAAGATAGGGTATACTCACACGATCCGCGGCCAACTCCAAAGTATATACTATAATACTGACTCGCCGCGGAACACCCGGCCGCGGTGCTCTTAGTTGTTATATAAGTGACAGTACTGTCGAAAATGAACATGAGTATTTATACCAAGTTTCGCTGCCTGCCTATCTCAAACAGCATCCTATCTTTGCCATCTCCATACATTCTCCTTCTGTCTAACTCTTAAGTCAGAATAAACCAGCATATACACCATGGCCTCCACAGATGCAACCGTATTCTTTTCCATGGCGGACAAATATCTAATGAGAACGGGTGTCCCCTACTCCCCGGTCATTATAAAAAAGGCCAAAGGCACCAGACTATACGATATCGATGACAGACAGATCCTCGACTTCACCTCCGGCCAAATGAGCTCTCTCCTGGGACATTCTCACCCGGAGATCGTCGAGGTGGTCCAAAAGTACGTCGCAGAGCTCGATCATCTCTTGAGCAACATGATCACCTACCCCGTTGTCGAACTCGCTGAACGCCTAGCCCGCTTCCTGCCCGCGCCTCTAGAAAAGTCCTTCTTTCTAAACACCGGTTCCGAGGTCACAGAGGCAGCCATCAGGATTGCCAAATGCTATACTGGCAAATTTGAAATCGTTGCTTTCGCCGCGAGCTATCACGGATTAACTCAGGGGTCGGGCTCCGCGACCTACTCAGCCGGTCGTAAAAGCGGAGGCCCCTGCATGCCGGGCCAGCTTGCCTTTCCTGCTCCGTATGCTTATCGCTCGCCGTTCCGGAAGCCCGATGGATCGTACGACTGGGAGGCAGAGATGGATTTCGGCTGGTCGATGATTGACCGTCAGAGTGTTGGCTCCCTGGCTGCGTTTATCATGGAGCCTATTCTCTCCACAGGCGGTATCCTCGAGCTTCCCCAAGGATATCTGCAACGCATGAGCTTGGAGTGCAAGAAGCGCGGTATGCTGATCATTATGGATGAGGCCCAAACCGGTGTTGGTCGAACTGGTCAGATGTTCGCTTTTGAGCAAGACGGAATTGTACCCGATATCCTTGCATTGTCGAAAACGCTTGGATGTGGGCTGCCCCTTGCATCTGTCAGTACTACCGCTGAAATCGAACGCGGGTGCACGGAAGCTGGCTTCCTATGGCTCACTACCCATCTTAATGATCCACTTACCGCTGCAGTGGGCAGTAAGGTCCTCGAGATCGTCGAGAGGGATAACATCTGTCAGCGAGCGGTGGAGCGTGGTGCACAGTTGCGTGGCGGTCTTCTTAAGCTGCAGGAGAAATATTGGTGTATCGGTGATGTCCGTGGCCGGGGTCTCTTGCAGGGTATCGAGATTATCTCTGATGCGGAGACCAAGGCCCCTGGACCAGGCCTCGGGCGGGCAGTTTCTGATCGGGCCATGGCGGGTGGTCTCTCCTGCAATATTGTCAATCTTCCAGGCATGGGGGGCGTGTTTCGTTTGGCTCCGCCTGTTACTGTTACCGCCGAGGAGATTGAAGAGGGTCTAAAGATCTTAGACGAGGCATTTGATTTTGTTTTGAATGAGAAGAGGAATTAGGTTGTTTGGAGTTCGAATATCTTTTCTGTATTTGATCAACATTTAGGCTAGGGTTCATATGTCTTACGATGGTTGTTCTATCCAACGCTGAGAAACTCCTGTATCAAGGCGTATATGATTCTGCGGTATCATTTATCACCTTCTCTTATTTAGCTTACCTTGCTAACTAATGATCTTATTGTCAAGCTTATAACTGCGAGGCTCTAAAGTTCAGACCTGTATGTTTCATGGAATGATAAACGTCTTAAACCGGAAGCAAGCCTTAATCCAGAATTGTGAAAAGTCTTACTCTATTCCTAGATAATACTGTCTCTCAGTTCCACGTATATCAAATCGACTAAGAACCTAACAGAAATACTGTGGTGATTCAAAGGTCTCCCTGCACTATCATTACCAGCATGGTTTTTCACGCTTTGCCCGTCTTACCGCGTAATCGTTGCCGGGAGTTCCTGGACTCTCTACTTCATTCAGAAAGGCATTCACGACATCTAGTTAAGTGACGGTGTTTCGACTGTGACTGCCATAGAACTTCTCCTGAATCCGCGTTCAGTACTAGTCATTCCATGGCGTTACGATCTTCGCGGTGGAGTTTGATAATCACATTGGCACAAGCTTCAGACTCTCGAGGCGGTATTGCTATATGAAGGCAAAGTGACTGGATCCAGGGGTGATGTTCATAAATCCTGCCATATATATACTAAGTATTAAAAGCCGGACAATTCTGAAAATACTAAACTAAAGAAGAGAAGAGGCTAGATCCCTTTATATGAGATTCCATACAATGAAACTTGGGAGAAAGGAACTGATTAGAACTCAGCAACGGTGGTATATATTTACGCAGCATACCACGGCGGGAATCGCGCTCCACATCGGTGTTTAACAGTTCATGGAGCCGGACTTTATCATTATCATAGACAAGTGAATTTTGACAGTCATAACCTGAAAAGTGAATGTTAAGGCTGTTGCTGTCACTTCTCCTGTTGGACAAAGAAGACATTGGGGCATCTGTGAAAACGGTGAATTTATGCTCATGGTATATATAACCCACCCCTTCCTCCTTTCTGGCATATTGTTACCAAAGAGAAATAGTCTACCCATTCCTAAATTACATCCATACCCTGCGAAGAAGGAGCAACCCACAATAGTTTCTGGTTATACATTGGGCAGGCAACAGACCTCTGCGAACGAATTCGAACACAATATGATATCTACTGCTGGAAGCGCAGCCCATCGCTGCATTATCATGCCTGGGACTCAGCTGACAACATGGGTTCGATATTCGTCATACTAGGCACCACTGAAAAGCCAGCATCTGTCAAGACACAGCTATTGCTGAATCTCATCGAACTGGGGATAGCGCTGGTTTTTCAGACAATGTCATCGCACCTGGATGAGTATCTACCCAAGAGTGTAAGCAGACTCTGGTCGGGGAATCACCTCAATGTCGCACTGCCTTTGTGGCAAGACTTCACAGAGGACCAAGCTGCAAGCGAGGCAGTTGGTGGGCGAATATCCTTCCAGCAGTATTTATTTTCCGACGACCCGAAAATTCGTCAATGGGCAGAAAATGCAGAGAGATGCGTTTAATGATATCCGAAACTCTCTCGACGCTCTTCTGAGACAGTATTATCAAAATCTTCTCTCTAGGTGTCGACCAGGGCCAGCAAGCCTTCAGGAAAGAAGGTCGATGAACAGCATGAAATACTTGGAACTAACAAAGATAACAGCAAAGGCATCTCACGAGAATAAATGTGTGAAGTAGCATGCCGTTCCTTCAGATTTACAATCCCAGTTGCTTTGACTATGTTTGAGGGATAGTGACCAAGTCTTTTTTCACTTCAACTTCACCTGATCAGCGGTCATGATGCCTAGGGAAGCTTCCACATCTGGCTCCAAACCAAGGGGATTCGAAATGTTTCCAAAATGAATTCTCTAGTCAATGTGCTGGAGGGTAATTCCTTGGAGGAGAGCCAAAATTTCCAACGACGTTGGTATTCAATGATGGATAAAACGTGTATGCTAGGGTTCCATCTGCATAGACTGCTCGGTTTAGGCAGCTATTCGCAGAAGGTATGTACTACGAGAGGATTATAATAATAAAGATGAGACCCCCGGAGCTTCCCTGGTACACAGAGATTTTTATGGACAGGTAAATTACGTATACTCTACTATATTGGTTAGAGTTGAGTAGCTCTTCGTCCAGTCTGGACAATACAAAACACAAGTGCATCATCGATCATTATACTCAGCCAGCGATGTCACTATATCTTTATTTATATCTTTTCTATTTGCTTTATTATTCAGTTATTATATTATATTGAACGGTTAGGGAGGTTGAATTCTTGATTGGATTGACTGTGTTGCTTGGATCAATCAACAATGACTGTGGGAAATTGCTAAGAATAACAGCGCTAGGCCTAAGTCAACATATTAGTAGTGTTCTAATCTTTGCTCTGACCTTTTACTAAGTTTATTATCACTGTATATATACTTCTATAATATGCAGCAGTTCAATAGCAGATACATAACTACGGAGTGGTGATTGTATTACTCGATACTCCTCTCTATTAATATACCAATTTCCATAGGATAGTTGAATAAGACAAGATCTCGGTTCTCTCATGGCCGCGACCTCTTCGTATTACTTTTCTAAAAAAAATTTTTCGTTCTGAACATAGGCCTGAAATTTGTTAGCGATTCATATACTCAATAATTCGTCAAAGTATATAGAACCTAATATACCTCATGTTTGGGAGAGTCTTATATTTCCGGGTACGACATTTACCTATAATATATCGTCATGCTTCTTAGATAATCTTCTCCAACTTATCGCAGGTAAACTCCAGCAATTACAGCCAGCACAGGGAGAGCATACCATCAGCGCCGTTGGTTGGTCGTTCTGTGCATACCCAGTAGCATCACAATGGGGTTTTTGGGCTTTTCCTCTTCTCCTCGATGGAACAGGTGTATCTTCTTCGCCTATACTCTCGCCAGAGACTTGGTTTGGAACTGGTATACATGGAATTATATCCTCATCATTCTTAAGCAAGCGTCCAGTGGCTTCCGATTACAGTGTCGACAATTAGGGTCAACTAGCTCGGCGAAACTTATGCTTATAGATACTACAGTCGGATAACCTGTAGTAGTAGACGTGGTTCTTAATGCAAGACCTGCCTAAAGAAAGAGCATAGTTAGCCATCGGATAAGCGATAAAGCAAGTGTCAGGTAGAGATACTTGATTCCTTTTCACCGATCGTGGTGTTCCTGATAAATTAATTCTCGACGACATGTTTAGACCAGCTATGATTGTCTTGTAATAAGAATGAGTTAGGGGTTCATAATGGGCCTTCTTTAGAAGCACTGGGGAGAAAAAATAAATATATATAGTTGAGACACTGAGACAGTAATCTTTTTATCCGCTTTCTTTTAACGACTGGAAGAACTTGCTACGTGTACATACCAGGTCCTATAAAAGAGGCCGGCCCAGCAGCAAAAGGCAGAAGCAGGCTTTCAGACCATTCAGATTTCGTGGTGGTAAGGTTAGAAGTCACGAAATTGGTCAAGTCCCGAATCTTCAGCAGACATGTCACATACTAGTATGGAGGTACATACATACAAACTTTCCAGGATTTTATTTTTAATATATTTTCTCTACATCTATCACCTAACCTTGATTAATCTTTTACTACATATAACAAGAAATTTAGATTTTCCTTGCCACTGCCTCACTCTCCTTATACTCAGCCAGTGATGTCACCGTATTTTTATTTACACATTTTCTGTTTAATCTACTACCCAGTCATCGTATCACGTCCTGGTTTTCGCTCCAAGCCTTTGTCGATTTCATGATCCAGAAAGTCATAGACAGCCCCATCCTTAACCAGTACTCCTGATACTAGAGTAAGTTATTTCTGCCTATACACTATCCAGAATACTGATTAAAAGCTAGGATTCCAAGGAGTCCACTGCCCAAATCAGATCGCCTCCCTCGGACCCCTCCGTTATCAGAATTATCGATGGCTGTAGCAACAAATACTAATCTTGTCTATAATAATCCACTATTCTTAGAACAGGAAACTGTTCAAGAACAGCAGAGAGAGAAACAAGAGTCTGACACAGAAAACGTATACTCAGAAATAGCACCACTTAGGTTCTTTTCTTTGAGAGATACTCAATATAATACTTCCAAAGAAGTCTCTCAGTTTTACTATCGCTATAATATACTACTATACTGCTATATATTTCTTGCGGTCTCGACAATCAAGAATCATATATTTCAGCAACAATATTCTTCTCTTCTGGAAATACTGGGGACACTGAAAGAAATATCTTCTATCCAAAATCTATTCAAATCTATCTTAACAATACACAACAAGGGTCAAGTGTTATATATCCCCACACATCGTATTCAGATATCTGTTATATCATTGAACCTACCGACACTCTCCTCCGTTGAGAAGAGACTAGCCGGATTTACTCCTCGCTGGTTAAATTTTATCGATCCAGGATTTTTACTCTCAACACCTATACAATTGAATCAAGACAAACAATCTGTCCAAGTCCAAATTTGGTTGACTTTTTCTCATTCAACCCATACCATTCTGAGTATTCAGGAATTATGAAATTGCGCATATACTACTTATTGAGAATATTCTCTCAATTTTAGATAGCAAGCATATATGGAGCCCGGCAACAGTTCCCTTTTGTGTGTGGATGGGGACAAGTACAATCATCGATAGTATACCTGGAAAGTTATTAACTGCAAGAGCGTTTGATATGGCAAAATCTTAAGGCTTCCTCAGGGGAAAAGCCCCCGAGCGTTATATTATTCGGGGTGTGGCTGCCATCGATAAGAGCAATTTCGTTCTTACATAGAAATATATGAGCACTGAAGATCGAAAGAGTCTAAAAGATATTATTGTAGATACCCGCAAAGATTTATAAAAACTTTTACAAGTCACAGCAATTGTCAGTAAAGGGATACACCCTGCTCAGCAATAATCCCGATCTTTTTCTATTGTAGGTACTGACAGAGTCAATATAAGCAGTCTATCTACAGTACCTAGTCAGAGTTCTATTTAGTCCAGTTATCAGATTAAAATAAAGAAAAGCAAAGAACTCCGGGCAATAAAACAAAGGCTAAATATATACATCGGTCTATATTACTATATCGACCAACCTAAAGAATATACAGCGCCGAATAACTGCAATAGTATTATTGACAAAGACAAACACCAGTAAATCTTTGCTATAAATTCTAATTTTCAAAATTTAAATAATTGCAATATCAGCACCAACTTTTTATACTGTTAGGTTTGTTAAGAATTTTTCTGTCGCACAAACCACCGGGATGTGGAATAGGTTTTCTTTCAAGTTTTTCTTATTTAGATAATAGAATAGCCAAGCAAAGATTGCGCCTCGACCACAAAGTCTTTGCTGGAAATGCCCCAAAGTGTTCAAATCCCTCGTCCCTCTCACCTCTATAGATACACCGAGTGGGGTGCATACTTCTGAAGAGACTAAAGATAAAGAGATAACTTTTTTAACAGTGAATATAAGGACAGCACTGTGTATTTAGAGAAACCTCTCTTCTGATATTTATCGGTGAACCGCGACATTTCTTTGAGGTTTCTGTGGCGTATATAATAGAGTGTAATGAAGAAGAAATAAAGAGATTATTATACCTGGGTCACAAATTTGTTGGAAATTTATTCAGTTATACAAATTCCAAAGATCATATCAAAATTTTGGCAAGTAGTAGTTATAAGAACAATAAATATCTACACCAAACTAACCAATATGTATATTTCCCGAAGTGCACTGACCAATAACCCCTGAGAACGCCATACCCCGGCTAATATAATGTTTGCTATATTGCCGATCGAGCGAGTCATGCACGGTATCCCATTGAATCCCGACAATCCTGACATCCAAGTAGTACTGGTAAATTGTCCCGGATCAAGATATGCTCTGCACGGTGCTGCATGGCTCTTCTCGACGCCAGCTCCTGACGAGCAACCTCAAACCAAACGTCCTGTACCGAGCTATGCATATGACTATTTGGCGCACTTTCGAAAACCAATGAATTGATATCGTCCTTTTCGTTCGACGTAATATCATTGTGGAAGTTTTTCATGAAATCTTTCCGCTGCATTCGTTGGTTCCCGCCGTCACCGATCTCAGCAGAAAAATACTCCACGAGACGGATAAACGGCGAGACCGTAAGTAATGAGCTAATCCAACTATCATCTGATGGACCAGGTTCATCTGGAGGAACTGTATACTGAAGATATGAAACAAGGAGTTGCATGCAATGATGTGTTGCGATAAGAGTGGCGGTGTTTGTGAAAGGGGGAGACCGCAGTATCTTGACTTGCAAACTTCGGTACATAGACTTGCGGACGTCCGGGGGAATGGGGACGGGTAGTCGTCCAGCTTCGAAATCGTGCAGAAGAATGTTGGTGTGTTCCCGCCTAGCGAGAGTATAGGACTCGAGGAAGTATAGAGTATAATACCTGGCAAGGGTCATTAGAGAGCACGTTAAGAGTGCTATTTGAGGGTAACCTACATCAGTGGCGTAAGATAGAACGATATACTTGCGGTCCCTCGTTTCACAAAATCATTGCGCTCGTTTCTGGAGGGGAACATAGACTTCATGAATGCCGGCTCACTTGCAACGAACCGATCCATGACGCGGTCTGCGATGTAATAGCATAACTTGGAGCATAGTTTCTGCCGCCGTCGTAGACTGTAAACATATCTGAAAGTATATATATGGCCACCCTTGGCGCTCTTTGCGGGCGGGAAAAGGTCTGACAGTAGCACTACATCATCCTCTGGGTGGCGTGTATATGTCCTCTCACTATCTATCGGAGAAGGAAGGGACCCATGACGGCGCTGGCGGAGATATTGCCGAGTGATCGCATGCTCATGTGTGGTAAGTAGCTCATGGAAGGCTTTGCAGACGAGTTTCAACGGTAATAGGTCCGTGATGCCGCAATGAGCGAAGATCTTTACTTGAATCTCAACAGGGAGGATGTCCCACAGGGAAGAGGTCGCGACCGGATTGAGTTTACTGACACTAGAGGAGTGTTAGCAAGAAAGTACGGGTAGTTTTTGTAACGGAATATCTTCGAGCACGTACTCCGATGTCGAAGAGACCGACGAAGCAAAGGGATTGTGTCTAGACGGGTTATTTCTCTTGGTGTTTGATTTCCTCCCCCTGTTGATGCTGTTGATGGCAGCGCGGGCTTTTTTCACATGGAGGACCAACTGAACGATTGGGCTCATTATCGGGTTTCTAAAGACATGGGGAGACCAGCTCCAGCTCAGGGCCAGTTTAATAAGACGCTTGTAACCATGGATGCGAACGTGCTGATGCTTGCGATTAAATCGATGTCACCCACAGGTGTTTCGCCGCCTTTCCCGGTTTGGGGAAAGAGGGGGCCTGACTAAGCTAGGTATGCATAGCCTGTACCCATTCAGTCTAGTGCCAGGTCCCTAATGCTATTTTTAAAGCAGTGTGGCGATGTGGGTTGTCTACGCAGTACTGTACTAGGAGTAGTATATGATTCAAGATTGCAAGGTCAATGCCTGCTGATCCATGCACAAACAACTTACTTAGTGCATATTATTAGGAATTCCTCTGCGACATGAGGGGATCTTTTCCATCCGAACAATTAAGATCCACTTCAACAGCTTAATCGATCTTCGACCAATCAGCGTACTGCCATGGCAATCTTTGTATCCCATGACAGGCTCCATATATCCATGATATTGTAGGTAGTACTGGATACGTATGTACATTTGGAGAGAGAGCTGAAAGCGTTCGCAAAATTATAAGCTCCTAGATTAGGTCATTCCCGCTTATACTGTTCTACCCCCAAAAAAACCATGGTTCAAATCTTTCGTTTTAGTCTTGTTTCCATACCTCCAACTCCGACCCTTTTTATCGGTAGAACGTAGATAATAGATGGATATCTTGACCAAGAGACCTCCCTAGAGGATCCCAACTGGGCAAAAAGACCAAATGAAACCTAGTCTACTAGCAACAGACACTAACTAGACCGTGCGAGTTGTTCCTAAGATCTTCACATTCGAACGTCTCCAAAATGGGCAAATGGTCCTCCGTGACACCCAACTTGCATTAGCGAGCCCACCAACAATCGACGATTTAATTAAGGATCACACAGGGTTTCATTTTTCACTGCGCCTCACTGCCTCAGTGGATCCTTCACAGGGTCCGTTATAGAACAGTACATACTATACTACTAGTGACTAGTCTCATCCCCGGGTTGCTTCGCCACCTCGTCTTCCTGGCTTATGATATAGACCCCGCTCCTAGTTTCGAACCCCGCTAAGGATAAGCCAACGGAATGCAGATACCAAAAAATGCGTAGGTAGGATAGCGTGGGGGCCACAAGTTGCGGCCTCAATGCGGAGAATGAGTTTTGCATTTTTAGTTAATCAACGCGACAGATATTAGGGCAAGTTCCTTGAGACTATCCGTGTCAGGAAAGTTAGCAATATACTTCTGGACTAACACTTATGATATGGGTGTGTTGCATTAAGCAAGTGGGCTTAGCTGCAGGTTGGCTCTCTTACATCGTGGGGTTGCCATGAAGGAGAGTTTCTTTGATACACCCTAATACGTCTCTTTTAGCGAATAATCTGTGCTTCATCACTAACGGGGAGCATATGGATTTATTAACTACTATAAAATTTCAATTTTGCAATCAGCTTTGTTATTTCCTTGGGCTGTTGATATATTTGCTGTTGAGCCTCTGATTATAGATAGTCTTTGCGAAATTCAACAACGAAACTGCTTTATATACACCGACAATTTTGGGGCAAGGAAGGGACTTAGAAAAAGAAGAAGCTACAATTTCAGGCCAAAATGGCGAAAAGATCGACCTCCAGGGGGGCCCCCTCTGACCCCTAGGTTTTCGAGGCTTGGGCATTGCAGGTCCCAACTATTTATTAGTGTGACAACGGGCAGCCCTGTCTCCTTACCGCGGGTAAGGAGTTCGATGATAGTGTTTGGCACAGTATCGGAAAAGAATCTCCTGGTGGAGTATTGTGCAAAGCTAAGGAAAGGCAGTTCCTCAGGAAGAGAACTATATCCTTAATATGGGAACTCCTGCCAATATTCCTCTTCGTGGAAGACTTGCGCAATGAACAGTACAAGTTCGGGTCTCTTTATTCTCGTAAAGCCAAAGATATCTTGGGAAATCCGAGTAATAGTTATTCGACTGAATGATAGATGTGGTAAGAGTTGGGTTACCATAGCCCTAGGGAAAGCTGAAGGTGATGATGAACCATTGCACCATATTCCGTATCGTTATACATAGACGAAGAGCTCCTGGCCTCCAAGAACTTTAGAACCGCGAGAGCCAGCTCCAAGCGCCGCGGCGCTTGGCAGGCTTAAATTTTCGATTATCCCACATACTAGTTAAATGACGGCCAGTATAGCCATAGTTGTTGTGATTATAAAAGTGGCTGGGGAAGAGGGTAAAGAATGGCTGGATTTGTGACCTAAAGGGCTTGAGTAGCCAAAGTATAATTTCGGTCTTCTTGGTGGTTGTCTCCAAGTAAGAGATGACAAGAAAGAGCCGACAGGCTGAGCTCTTAAATAGATCTTCCCAGATGGAGCTAATACACTAATTCATCAAATTCCAGGAATTCCCATCAGCTCCACCAATTCCACCAATTGAATAATCCAATTAAATCCATCAATTTGAGTGCTCTAGTCCCAGTTTAAGGAATTTTATGTCCCAAAGGGCCAGCATATAGCTGAAGGAAGAGATCAGTGTATGACCCCTCTGGATCGTGATTTGAATCATATAGCTAGATCTCATATAGCGCAAGGGAATTGCACACACATGAACCGATTGTATAAAACGAGGTAAAGATATGGCAATGGACGCAATCATACGATCAAAAACTGAATCACTGTTCAAGTATGGTGAACGGGGAAAGGCAGTGAAGATGGATACAAGACAAGTCACGTAAGCCTGAGCCAAGTCCGGATTAGCTGGATAGTTAATACTAATAATTCATGCTAGCTTCAGAACTTCCCCAAGTTATGGTACACATTGCCGCGATAACTTCCCGCAGCCATGGTCTTGTCGTGTCACTACGGCCAAATGGTTAGATTCGTTGATAGTTACCTATACTTTCCCATTTCGTAGCAACACTTGCTAGGCAATTCATTTCTATTTATAGGGCTTCTGCTCTCACCCCCATATGTTCACTATCTTCCTCATAAGCCCTACCTAGCCTTCACTCCCACCAAGAGAACTCCACGCAAGCATGTTATTTACAATACATACGGCCCTCTATATAGTAGAGCTTGTTAATATTTGTAGCGCTTCAGGGTGAAACGCGTGATACAGTGCAAAGTATAGTCATGAACTGAGTTCCCCGACTCGGATAGTATTCGACAATCTGAATTGCCAGATGTAAGTCCACTGGGGTATACGAATCATTGGTGGGTCGAAGAAAGAACCCATTACACTGTTTGTGTTGGGCTGGAAAGACATACGAAGCGAATGAATCACATAACCCAAGATTAATTCAAGCGAGACGAGACCGACGTAGAATAAATAGATTGCATAGCTGATCTCGTCTCGCTTGCAAAAATCAAAGCCATGTGATTCCACGCCAGAGATGGAAACAAACACTGCAAACAGAAGCTCCCCCGATATCATCATCAATTCTATATCAACTTCGGGTAGTTGCACCACAGCTCCATAGCAACCGACCATGGAATAAGGTATGATATACCTAAAGAAGCGCAACTAGCCCTCCAACAATATTCAACCCACCAACCCTCACAACGCCGCCCATGACCCCATAATCCTGACATGCGATAGCAAAAAAAAAAGAAAGGAAAAGAGACCCGCCCTCATGCCAAATTCATCCCAGAAGCCCCCGGGCTCCAGATTTCAAGTGCTCACACTAGAAGCTGCAAAACTACGATCACAACACCGACTATCACCCTCGCCCACCCCGTCTCTATCTTCTACCGCACCCTCTACCGCACCGCGCGCCGCTCAACCTGCCCCGGAACCACCTCGCAAACCATCCTCCCTGTTCTCCCATTTCCGAAGTCGCTATGCGGCCCAGCCCGTTTCTGTCCGCACAGGCTTCCGCGTTCTCCGCATATTAGCGCCCATAGTCCCGATTGGGCTCTTCTTCTCCGAACATGTCCTGGGGGTTATGTGGGTTAGCGGGCCGTCAATGACGCCCTACCTCAATGAGGACTACGAGCAGATGCATACGAAGCGCGATATGGTGCTTGTGAATATGTGGCCGTGGGGCGGGGCCGGGTGGCCCTGGGAGCGGACGAGGAGGTTGGAGAGGGGGATGGTTGTTACGTTTCGGTATGTTTCTGCTCGGGTCTGTCTGGGTTTTCTATGGATGCAATGGTTATTGACTATTATTTTTCTTTACTAGATCGCCAGCTAATCAGGGCCATATTGCTATTAAACGTGTGGTTGGACTTCCAGGAGACCGGATCACAACTCGCGACCCCTGTATGAAGCCCTCGCAGATCGTGCCGTTTAATCATGTTTGGTTGGAGGGTGATGCGGCGGATCCGAAGAGGTCGCTTGATAGTAATACTTATGGACCTGTGAGTATTAGTCTGATCACGGGAAGGGTGATGGCTGTGATGTATCCGCGGTTTAGGATGCTTAAATGGACGGATTGGGAGCAGGGGCTTGTCGAGGGTGATGATGAGCGGAGGTTAGGGGATAATTATCGTCACGAGGTAAGGGATCGTGTGTCAAAGGAAGCGGTCAAGTTGGAGCGGCCTGTTCTATCATAGAGGCTTCTGCTTCTTGCCATTATGTGTATATGCTGTACTGTATATAGAGCTTTTGTATTATTATAAAGACATGTGTATGAATATGTAGAAGAGCAACAGACCTGGTATATCGACTAGAACAGTGGCTCATCCAGCGAGCTCAAGTTTTTGACTTAGCTAATCGCGTGTTGCAATTACTCGAACATCTTCCGGTTTGCTTTCTTGCAGCCGATCAATCTCGGATGCAATGCTCATGACCCAGCGATCTTTGTCTACCCGGCTCCGTGCTTTAAACACCGCAGTTCGCCCATGGACGCCCAGCTTGGAAACTTGCTTCAACGTCTGCTTTGTTTGGCCTTTCTCCCCTTGCTCGCGTGCTCGAAAGAGGTTCTTGCGCAGAGGCTGCCAAACCACGAAGGTAATGGCCGTGTCTTCATCACTGCTCGTATAAGCGTCCGTAGAAAGATAAGCCCGGGGCAGGGTGCGATGGCTTGGGCGATTGCTATCGAAGGTTTGGTTGGTATAGAGCAGATCAGACTCTGTCAACAGTCCCGAGTAAACGTAGCAGTCGCTTAGATCTATAGTTGCTTCAAGGCAAGAATGGACATGAGGGATTTCAACACCATTGCGCTTCCTCAACGAGCTCCGGAAAATTAACAATTTTCCGTCGGTAAGAATGACATTACATCGTTTGAAAGTTGAGTGCCGCCGTGGTTTCCGAAAGAGCTGGCCGGACATCTGGGCAATATCAGTATCATCGATTACTCAAAAAGCGCATGTAGGACCTACCTTGATTGTCCGACAGCCAGTCAAAGCACACATATTGTGTAACAAAGGTGATGCTTCTGCCCGCCTGACCTCCCACTTTTTGGCGAATTGTCCTACCACAGACTCCATCTCTTCATCGATATCAAGTATCTCTAGGTTGCGCTGCCGCAAGATTTTGAGCTCCGCCGCATCAGCTGCACACCGTGCTTTCCAGTATTTCACAAGGGCATCAAGCCTCTTCATCCATTCATTCTTAGTCCCCTCGTCGTACGCCTGAAACCGGACAACAAGGTCATTATCCAGAAGCATCTCAAAGGTTTTATCGTCGTCGAACTTCTGGGTTGCGCCATCATCTCGCCAAGTGTCTCTTGCTTCGGGATTGAACTCAACATCTGGCCCTTCCCGGATATTTCGGTCGGCAGGGCAACTGTTACGCTGCACATCACGTACTTCCTGTACTCGGCAGATATCGATGTAGCCATCAGCATTGGTCAGATTGTGGAGGTTCCTGCGAAGCTGTGCAAATGCTTCCTCGTCATGTCTTTTTATGTACTCCTTATTGCCACTTGAGAGCCAAGTTATCTCTCCCCCCTGTATTGGAAACGGATCAACATCGTATGAAAGTGGCATTTCATTCAGAATGTCTTGCGTTGATGGGATATTCGAATCATCCGCACAAAGTCTCGGAGGAGCTGGCGGCAGGGACTTCGCGGGTCTGCAGAAAAACAAATAATGGTCTTGAGTGAAGCAGTATAGGCGCTTGAAGAACATTTTGTTCATGCGCTGGTGCACACCTCTTTGCGATGTAAGGCGAATCAGAAAGCCCTCCACTGGCTCTGGTTCTTCATCCCTCTTGTCACCATTATGTACATGCGTACGGTAGTGTTGTCGCGGTCGGAGCTCGAGCTCGTGAGTCCTTTGCATCGCTAAGGTTCCGTACATTCTTTCCTCATTGATGCCGTGGACCCATTCCAAACGGTCGTACCGCTTCCAAGCAAGGCCCATTCTCTCAGTTTTAGACCACTTATGCAATACATCGGTCCATTCAGGATGTTTATCCAACAATTCAAAGCAACCACGAATGATTATCTCTGCTGCTGCTGCATTTTGCGGGGCAGAACGAGCAAGTATTCCACTTCTCTCATTCGCCTCGAGGCGCGCTTCCAACTGCTCGAAAGGATTTTCAAAGGTAAGCGACACCCCAAGGTCTGGTACGTTGATTGACAGTGAAGATGCCCGGCGTCTTCCTAACGCATAACCTAGAGACGTGTACCATTCAACGGCGTGCGCCGTAGATTTAGGTCGTATGATGTAGATCTTTGTGCCATGTTTGCAGGGACCCCAGATCACAATCGTCTTATCCAAAGAAGAGTACAGGTTCAAATTTGCCTTCTTGCGACCTAACGAGATCTCATGGTAAGGTTTCGCCTTGGTGTTGTATCTCTGTATCTCGGGGATAACGCGCGTTTTATACATCTGGAGAGTAAACGGCGCATCCTCATCGGACGTCGTTCGAAAAACCACCAAGAATTCCCTCCAATTATCGGCAACCCTAGTTTCCATCCTCCAACTGTCATTCTCACCATAGTCTTCGGGAAGCTGATGCTCCGTCTCCTCGATTCGAACAAGCATCCTTTCAGCCTTGATAATCTCGCCTGCTTTTACTTTGCGCCGACGGGACAACGTTCCCGAGACCATGCTATGTGTTCTTGAAATCCGGGATCGGAGTCGTTGTTGTCTATCCAAAAGATTATCGTTGTATTTAATGGCTCGTTTGTGGAAACGAAGCCGTTCATCGCCAAGGTCTTCGGTACTTTCAACTTCCTGAGTTTCAGGGTCCGGTGTTGAGAGTGCACTAGTAACTCGTCCTTTCCCTTTGAGCAGGGACCTAGATCTTAGCAACGGGGTCGTAGATCCAAGCTCACTTTGCGATGCCATGGGGCTTGACTGACTGGCCTCATACTGACTCATGGTCCTTGATGTTGGTTTGCTCAGTGGTTTTATGGTCTCCCCACTGCTGTGGTCACCCGAGGTCTGTTGTATGCTATCTGGGCTGGTGGCGATCTCTCTTGCTGTTATGTAAGATTGCGCATCTGTCGCTGTACTAGCTGGAGTCCGGTTGTGCCTCTCTGGGACCAACATTGAGGGGCCGGGTATGGCAGAGGTATGGGAAGAGGGCGCTTCAGTGGTTTCCCCTAGTGGTTCACTTAAAGTCCTGAGGGCCTTATTACCACCAGCCTCCTGCTCGCTGGTGTCCTCTTCCTGTTCACCCTCTGTAGTATCCCCGGGCTCATCGTTCGTCTGTTCTGGAGATAACTCGATTCGCGCAGGTTCTTGTGTGTACTGTGCAATATCGGTTTCCGCTCGAAAAGTAACGGTTTTGGAGGAGTAATTCTTGAACCTAAGTCGCGTTTTATACCATGATTTGCGGTGGTTTTGCAGCCAGCCTTTGGGGATTGGCCCGATAAAGAATCGTCTGCTCGTTACATGGACATGGTTGGCAGAAGCATAACGCTTTAGCATTGATTAGTTTCCCTGACAGTGTATAGAATGATGAGACCCTTACCAACTTCTCAGCTGTATAGAACTCTGGTTCCAGGCCACGGTGGTGATCATGAAATGCGGTGTGTAGGTCGGTCTCCATTGTGTCGCCAGCATGCTGAACTAGGGGGTAATGAGGGCTCATTGCACGCTTCCACAACCATCAGATGTGGATATAGGGAGAGAGGTTTTATATAGCATTAGAAAAATTAGCTTGATTAGCCCCGGGGCCTGTCAAGATCCACAGAGGGGATGTGCAATCAGGAACCGATCGATCAGTCCCAGGTCTAAAGGTGGATTTCAGGCGATGACGTCGTTGTTCTTCAGCCCTGGTCATTCTTTTGCTTTGTTTGTTCTGTTTGATTCGTTTGCCGATGTAAATCAGGGGGCCTGAGTCTGGACCCGCTGATTGGCTTGGCCGCTTGCGTGGCCATTGTCCCGCTAACGGCGGTGTGACCGTTAGACATAACAGCTGGTGCCCCTCAGACTGCCTCCTTTCTCTCTACTCTACTCCGTTGTTTCTTTGCTCTTTTCTCTCATTTCTCTCCTCGTACACTACAATTCAAAATGGCTTCCCAGACCTGGTTTGATGGCCTTAAGAGGTCCTTCGCCGATGTTCCCGTTGGCGCAGATAACTCCATCTCTACCACCGAGTTCCTTGAAGCCGCCGAATCCCTGACTACTCTGTTCGGTACGAAATTGAACTGACTTGACCATGGAATCTGTCCAATTCTGACGATATTTAGATGTGCTCGGATCTAAAGCTTTCTTTCCTGTTAAGAATGACCTCCTTGGAAATGTCAAGGTCCGGGAATCTTTAGCCCACGTTCAACTGCAGGAAGACCTAACTTCGGTATAGAAACTCAAAGACCGGCAGCTGGCTGCCCCGGCCGAGTCTGAGACTGTCCAGTCTCTCTCTATAAATGAGCTGAAGACCAAGAAGCACACCGCCTCTGAGGGCCTGCTCTGGCTTGTTAGGTATGGACTGATCGTTGCTCTCAACCCTTTTAGGGTGGTTATCAGGGGTCAAACCGCCTCCACTCATAGATGTTTCGAATATATAGAAAGGTTGTAATTGTGCAGTCAGCTAACCGCGTCGAATTCAAATAGGGGTCTTGACTTCACTGCCCAATCCCTCCGCCGCCACGTCGACAACTCCTCCGAGAAGCTCGCCGACTCCTTCCGCGGAGCCTACGGCGTTACCCTCAGCAAGCACCACGGTTGGGCTATAAAGCCGGTCTTTAACCTGGCCATGGGTGCTGCTCCTGACAATGAGTCCTTCTACAAGTCCCTGGCTTCCAGTGTCTCTGTCTCCGACGAGGTCAAGGCGAAGATCCAGGAGCAGTTAGCCCGCGAGGTGAAGGCTCTGGAGAACATCGTTTCCATTCTTCAGAAGTTCCAGGAGCAGCCAGACGCCAAGTGGTAAATCTAACGATAGCCATTAGCGTTGCTTCCGTTCAATCACAACCCTTTTCTAGTGCATAATATTTCATCGCATGATGCTCTAAACTTGTATATAGGTGACTATACATACCTGGTTTCAGAAGCGAGCAGGACCTCTATTCAGGACACAGTTGCTTTATAAAAGAGCTCATCATATTATTCAAAGATATCATACAATACTACATATTATGTTGCTGTACTGGCTTACCTTTGCCTTTCTTGGTCACCATTGTGACTTAGCGGATTCAGACAGTCGGCTTGTGTCTTGATATGGCGCAATGTATGAGCCCCTAGTATTAGACGCTGTAGTCCCGTTTAACGCATAACGACATGTGATGTCTGTTATACTTGTCAACTTGCAAGGAATACCTGGATACTGGAGTTGTCTTTGAGCAATGGCACTCGTAACCAGTAAATGGAACCTTTGGTAGTTGTTAATACCAGTGTTCCACCACCTCTCACTACCTACCATCTGCATCATCGATGGGGTAGCTTGATAAATCGGAGTAGCTCAATCTCGCGTTTAGTCCCTGTATTAGAATTTGTTCTTGAACCATGACTGACAGCCGCCATGTGGGACATCACAGAGGACACAGGAATAACGAGCTTCACTATGTGTCTAATAGTGGTTCAACACGATCGTGACAGTCATTGGTCGAAGTCTGGCGTTTAGATGAGGAGTAACAGTCGATAATGGTGCAGCATTGTGGTCTTGAAAAGAGGATTCAGTAGATATCCAGTCTCAGGGATGCCGACAAGCCTTGCGTTATCGAGTACTGCCCGTAAAGGCAGTGTCAGCTGGTATGCTGGCTAAAAGATATAATATATAATGCCCTTAGTAATGCCCTCATAGATCACTTCTCTTGACAGTCTGACTTAATGAGTGGTATAGCAGAGATGGTCCGGCTGGAAGACGGTCAGATAAGAAATTCTTATCTCTTTGAAATAGAGTTTAGGTGGGATGGCTGTCACTGTAGGTCAGTTTCACATAAACGATTGATTTGTTTCTTTCCAACTAAAAATATCCCACCGAGGTGACTCCTGTGCAGAAATAAATGGAAAAAAGACATGGACCGGACTCCAACCTTATGCATGTCAAGCAAGATTGTGATACGATGCTTGTGTTAGAGTGAGATAGCCTGAAACATTCACACCCAACGTAGTACTACGCTGTCGAAAGGAAGCTAAGCTAGTCTTCAAGCGCATGTACTCCGGACGTATTGCCGCATTGGAATACCGAAAGACGGCTCTTCTCTTCAGTGTAAGATTAGACTCGAGCGGTAGCGGAACCTAGATGGCAGCATTAGCTACGTATCGGGTTTAGACCGCCACACCAGGATTTGATCAACATGCCGCCGTCAACAAACAATGTTGGTCTGCTCGTTACGGGGCACATTTCACCACGGAAAAGAGTACCCAAATCAACATTCCCCGCTGCGGCAGTTGAAACTTGAACGGTGTGGAAACGGTGGGAGAAGCTACTAGTACTAAGGAAAAGGGGGAAGACAGAAGCCACTCCCGGCAGTGGATTTGCGCTAACAATTCCCAAAATAGCATAATTGATATGCAGTTCAAGCCCTACAAGAAGACTTGGTCGATAAAACAAGCCGCTGCGGTTTGGAAACGGGCCACTTAGAGGCCTCTCGCCAAATATAGCGAATAGTAATATTGCTTGACATGGCACTAGTATCTAGATTGTGCTGCTCCATAGGATTTCTTCAGGGAGAAGAATTATTATAGCTTGTGCTTGCATCTAGCGGAGGTCCTGCGTATCAATTACTACTATACAACTAACTAGTAACTAGGTGTGTATATCGCCGTACATACCTATCACTGGTAGTGTATATATGTGTATGCACAAGTGAAAGGGCGAATGAGAGGGTGTCGATGAATATTTGCAGCACCACGTTTTTGCCCTGTCGTGATCTTATTATGCACAGCATAGCAACGTGCTAAACGTATCCCATCGGCAAAACAGATAAATTACTGTGGATTCCCGGATGCCACTACGGAGTACTGTGGGGTGGAAACCCGACCCTACCAACTTGGGGCTAAGCCGCTAATGCCCAACTTGGTTGGACTCCCACTATGCAGCGTCATGTGTATGTTACTTTGAATGTAACCTATCGTCGCCGTGTCGCTTTTTAAGGATTAGTCAACATGTGAGTTGGTGCCAGGCCGTGGTGGGTATAAAATGCAAGTGTATGGAGTATATGTAATATTATGTATATTTATGCCGATGATGGAGTGAGACTGTGAAGGTTAGCCTTGCTCTTACCCATGGACAATCAGACGGGAGAGAAAATCAAGGTTTAGAGAATAGTCTGGAAACTAGCGATCCTCACGCACTACTTAGCGATGGTGATACTAGACGCGCTGGTGGCTGAAAAGGGGTAGCTAGCGGTTTATAGCTGGTGTTTGGTGTGCTGATCCCTATGATGGAAGAATCTTAGTAGCCATCGCTTCGACCAACTTGCTTCGAGCCATGAATTCTATCATGCCGATCTTAAGATAGGATTTACGGCGCCTGTTCTTCGTCTGGATCTCCGATCAGCATTTGGGACTAGGGTACCATGCATAGCAGAGTTTGATTCTCGTATTCGATATCCCACAAGAGGCGACTGGAAAATTGGAATACGCATGTGAAGATCCTTCAGAATGTAAAAGGGGATTTAACTTATTTGCTCCATAAGTTAAATGTTCCTGACGTTTTCGATCAAACCTATGACTCGTTAGGCGGTATATTAATTGGATATCATGACAATCATAGCAAGCAGGCTAGGATCGTGAACCATGGATTGCTCACCCACTCTGCCCTGTAGCACGGTCTGGAATGTGCATAGCTTATCTAGTCTCACGAGAAAAAAAAAAGGGAAAAGTATTTGGTGGCTCTCCTGATTAGCTTCGCTTGGCAGATGGGCTCCTTAGGTAATTTCTGTCAATAAAATTCCTTCGTGGCCAATGGTAACCCATGTGATTGTTCTAAGCACATCCCGTTCATATTTTCAAGGGACGTCTTGCAGGCGCATTGATGCCAGACTCTGCATCATTCATAATTGAGATTGGAAGCAGAACCCTCATAACTGAACCCAGCTTGAGAGAGGTTCTTGAGATACCCAACGAACTGTTACATTATCGGGCCGGAGCGGATATTACGATGGCTATGCTCCGCCTAAATCCGTATTTGCCTCCACTGATGAACCCCTGCACCTTCGATGTTAGGTAATTATAACCCGTCCGTGTCCTTGAATCTCCACTTATTCCATCGTCGGAACTATGGACCGTCATAAGCAGAAATCCACTCAAGTGCCGTGGTTGATGCCCATAATTCTTGTCCAAGACAGATGAACCCTAGTCAGCCATCTCGCATCGCTTTTTCTCCTCACTTTTAGTCATGTCGTTGTACGGAGTGCATGGGCTGGTCTTGTGCATAGTACATCCATGCATCTCAACCCCTGCGCCTTAGGGCAACCAAATTAAGGACTAGTAGACAATAGACAATAGACCAGCCGAGGTCATCCTTGTAGTTCCGCACATGCCCTTGCTTAGGAGGCTCGCTTCCCAATAGCGTCCTGTAAAGCCCGGCTATGAGGCACGTTTAAAGTTCTACTCTACCGCATACTGCTTCTCGAGCCAAATAAAACGAAAATGACAATAGCGCTATCCCCACACACCCAACGAAGTGGCACCTGGAGTTGGCTCCAGTCGGCATTTTCGATGCAACTAACTCCCTGGAGTCGCATGCTTGCCACTGCAACTGTAAAAGTGTAATTGTCAAAGCGTACTTTTTTAGCGCAGAGTCCCAGTTTCGTCCCCCCCCTAATAATGTATGGTATCCCGCAGTAAGGATGATGTCTTGAGTTACATCTGATTTTGTGGCTATCTCTTCCGCTCCTCCCAGGAGATGTCCTTGGCTTTCTAGATTATGCATCCTGCTTGACCTAATCAAGCCTTTGCTTCACTATGGTAGAATTCAAGGGCCGCAGCGAACAAATCTTTGTCGTCACCATCATTTTTCTGGGAATCTCATTTATCTCCGTCTGTCTGCGATGTTTTGTCCGGCTGAGGTTGGTAAAAGCCTTCGGGTGGGATGATATTTTCATGGTGTTCGCAATGGTATGTGGTTGGCTTACCGGTGGCCGTAGTAGGCGCTGTTGTACGAAACTAATCATATTATAATTCAATCGCAGGCATTGAATATATTGTTCGCACTATGCGGTATCACAGGCGCGGTTTATGGCATAGGTCGAAAGAGGGAAGACCTTGAGCCTGAACATGTTGAAGCCGCATTGTTTGTACGTGGTCCCCGAGCAATCCCGAGTTGAAATTATTCTTTGGCTGACGCGCTCGATGCAGTGGTGGTGGCTCGGCCAGACAAGCTATGTTTTCACATGTGTAATTGCCAAGATTTCTATCGCACTGGCACTTCTTCGCCTCACGGTCGCCAGGATGCATACGATACTCCTCTGGCTCGTAATTGGCGTCTCAACTGTCGTGGGCCTTGTATTTTGGTTCATGTTGACATTACAATGCCAACCGGTGGAGTATTTCTGGCAGCGAATGAGGCCGGGAGCTTCGGGAACTTGTATGAAAACACAGCACCTCATTGATATAGCCTACGTTTATAGCGTTTTCGCCACGATTTGCGACTTTATCCTGGGTCTGTTGCCCATCGCCCTGGTGTGGAACCTACAAATGGGCACGAAGACAAAGGCTGCTTTGGCCGGTATCTTAAGCTTGGGTTGCATGTAAGTTCAAATTGCCATAGGGGCATGATTTTGCCTTTGGTTCAATTGCTGATTGTCTGGGGTTTAGTGCGAGTGCTGCCGTTATAGTCCGTATTCCTTACCTCCATCACTATAAAGACACCGAATTCCTCTGTGAGTTCTCGTTGTTATCCCTGCGTTAAACTGGGAGGCTCTCTCAGCTAACACACATTTCTACTTAGATGCAACAACCGATATCTCAATCTGGTCCAACGTT